AATACTTTTTAAATGTGGATTATTTGGAGGGGCAAAATTATACTTTTGCCCCACAAACATTTTTGGGGGGTAATGTGCCCCCCCTTGACCCCCAGAAATTACGCTACTGCCACTAACAACAACTAAATGTTTATCTAAATAAAAAGATCCAAAATATTTTGAATATTATTATTTAAAATCTAAAAAATGCATACAAAAATATTTGATGAAACATTTTATTTTTAATTTTTCTCGATTATTTTGAAAACTACTGAGAACTTTCATACTCCCGTCATACCAACACGCAAACACTACACGTATTGTAACAACACTATTCTACCTAACTACATTAAATTTGTTACCAGTAAGTATAGTAACCACCTTAGATCATATACATGTATATGATCTAAGGTAACCACTAACCATGCTTAAAGTTTAATATCAGTCCATTTTTGTACTGCTCCAAAAGGTGAAATGGTCGGTGGGCGCAATAAAAACTAATTGTAAAAACTAAAATATTCAGAACATCGTTTATTGTAATACCTACCTATTTTACATAATTTGTCGTTGTGGATAATAAGTTTTGAACGATATATTACCAATGTCTAAAAACTAGGTAGGTACCTAGTACCTACTACTAAAACTACCTACCTACAGATTGACAAATTCTATCATTACGTAAAACATATAATAATAATAAATTGTTATAGGGAACAATCAACAAACTATCATATGGGATTAACATTTTTTACCTACCTATTGGCTATTTCATCAAAATTTTAATGAATTAATATATTTTTTTATATTTGATGGCCTTTATTTATATTACCTAACTATTATAGCAAAATAGTATTGATTTTGTATAAGAAACTAAATGATAGAAAACACATTATATATTTGGCAAATATGTGAACATTGAATATAATTTTTTTATATTGATATACTTTATTATAGGTATGTACCTATTGTACGTTCATTGATTTTATTATATATTATTGTATGTATTATAAAAATCAATGAAACGGTGTACCAACTAATGTTATAATGTCTATTAGTGATTTACAAGTTTAAAAAAAAATGGCAATATGTGAGGTGAATATTTAAGTAGATTTCACGGCCTATCTAATTTTTGGCAAAAACAACAGAGCTAAAAAATACCAACATAGTAACTATGGAGTATGGGGCGCTATTTTAAAAGTGTGCCAAATTTAAGGATTGCTGTGTGAATCTTATCTTTTACTAATTTGATATGTGTGTATACAATATACATACGGGTTGTGTAAATGTGTGCGTACATTAGTGTGAGTGACTCAGGGGCGTCCCTAGACAGTTTTCTAGGAGGGGCGAATCTATTTTTTAAATTAATAATTACCCTATGCTTATTTTTCAATAGTTTGGGCGAACTTAAGTAGATTTTACTGACTTTATTATTTGTTTAATGCGACTTCATTACAAATAAGTTTACATAACAAAGTATTGTTTCATAAATTCGCCTTTAATTTTTAATGTTGTTATAATATAATATAATTAAGTACAATGGTATATGGTATACCCGCATAGACTAAAGGCTGGTTTCCACTATGAACGTTTGCCCGTGTACACGAAAAGTGTTCAGCTATATGTCCAACAACACTGCATCGTGGTTAATCGTGTGGTAACTTAACCTAACCAACCAATCACAGCAAAGGATTTGTATGCACGTACTTGTATAGTGGAAACTCGCCTTATGGCGATACCAATATACCACTATTACCACAGAATATAACAATATTACTATATTACTTATTATCTTTATCTAAACCGTAATAGTTATCCATAGATAATAATTATAATTTCTGTGGTGATTAGTTTTTCTACTTAGGTATAAGTGTATAACGGTAAATTAAAATGTTGATCAATTATTATTTTGTTGACATTGAGAGTAATTATTATATACATTAAAAATTGTTACGGGGGGCGAACACCCCTTCGCCCCTCCCCCCTTGGGGATGCACCTGGAGTGACTGTGTATAAAATAAATGGCAGAAAGCCCACGCACGTGCACATACATATCAATAACTCATTACACAAGTATTGATTATTTTGTTTTTTTTTTGTCAAAAGTATCAATATTTTGGCAATCATATTAATTAACCCATTTACCCGATAAAATGTCTGAATTATTTGAATTTGTCATAAAATTTACTTGAATCGACTTTCTTACATTTTTAAACTAATTTTAGATTCTAAGCAGAGCGAAAAGGATGTATTCACAATGATGTGTGTTATTATTCTGTCTATCATCAACATTTGGGGAAGTAAGAATGCTCCAGTTTTCGAGATCAGCCTCTTTACTGATAGAAAAGTGAATCTACTTGGTACTTTTGAGAGGTCGACATTGAAAATTCCAAGCGTCGAGAAAAACAAAAAAAAAACAAAAATTAAAGATATATTGTAAATTTATTATAAAAATATAAAACCATTAAAACTCAAGGTAGCTATACATACAGGAACATAACCAGGGGAAGGCCTGGGTGAACCGGGCCCACCCTAAATATACTCTGGCCCAAGGCCAGCCCCCCAAATTCAAAATATAATTATTTTTACCAATTATCAAAAATGTGATTATGCACATTGAGAAAAATCTAATGTGATTACTACTATAGGTAATACAATTATTATTGTAATAATTTAATTTTTATATTCTCTTTTTAACTTTATCTGAAAAAAATACAATATATTAGGGTCTTGATACCCGTTTTAAAAACAATAATAATATACTAGCCGCAGTTATAAGTCTATGCTAAGTCAGCTTGAGAAAGAACTTTTTCATGTCTGAGACGACTGAAAACCTATATGAGGAATCGCATGACAAATGATTGTTTAAATAATTTAGCTTCAATGAGCATGGAAAAAAAAATTTCTAAAAACTTAGATCTAGATTTTTTGTACAATTGTTTTCAGAAAATCATAAAAACAGAAAAATTATTTTATATTGAACTGTTTAATATTTATATAAGTATAAGTGTAATATTAATATTTTCTACTAGTATGTGTTTTTTTTTTTTAATACATTTGAGTTTCTTTAAAAATTATATTAATTTAAAAATCAATGATCATTTATCTCCATTATTTTTGATAAGTATTCAAATATGAATTAATTTTTGTTAATAGAAGTTGAACAATTGAAGCTAGTGGCGTAGCCAGGATTATGAAATGGGGGGTGTTAAGTATAAATTAAAACCAAGTTTTTACAGTTTTCGTATATAAACAAATTTAGGGTTCGGGACTTGACTTGTTGCACTAAATATTATCGAAATATGATGCAGTCAAAGTTGTCAAAATATTCTTAAATATATACAGCTACATTTTTATATTATTTTTGAAAAATTCATAAAACATACTACAATTTTGGTAATAAAAAACTAAAAAATAAGTAGGTATATAAATAATTTATACACGGGCTTACTAATTTTTATATAGGTAGGTACCTATATTGATTAATGTGATGGACGGAGTACACTATTGCATGTTTTGGACATTTTTAAACTATTGTGAAATAAAACAACTTGATTTTTAAAAGTACTGGAATAAAATACTAAGTTAATAAATATGTAATAAAGAATAACGTGATATGAGAACACCTTGATAAACGAACACGTTCTACTGATTTTCATTTTTTCGTACAATCTAGAATGTAGATGTCAATTATAGTTTTAACACAGTCTTGTCACAAAGAGACTTATAAAATCTTACATACCATAACTATGCTAAAATAGGGCAAACCGTATAGTCAAGCTCCACCAACAACTTTAACAGCCCTCCCAATCATTTACTAAATTTTTTTAATTCAATTTTATAATAGTATGGTTTTAGGCTTCGGCCTCCCCAAATCTCAAAATTAGAGCCTATTGTACCTAACCAAACATAATATTTTTAAAAATATTTTTCAATGTTATCCAAATATGATTTTTCCCGACATTTGTATGTACCTACATTTAAGTTAGAAAAATGCAAAATATGCATAAATATGCAAAAAATCTCTCAAATGTACACTTTTCCTAAAATATGCAAATTCAAACTTTGTTTGATTAGACATTTAAAATATTTCATAAGACAAATTTAAAACTTATCTAAAATAATGCGAGCAGTCCCAAACCCTATGAACAATATTTTTATTAGGGAGGAAAATATCAATGGGGGGTGTTTAAACACCCAAAACCCCCCCCTGGCTACGCCACTGATTGAAGCAGCTTATTATTTTAAAGGATGTAAATTTATTTTTCATAGTATGAAAAATGTATCCCATAAGTGAAGATGTAGGTGATTCTATATTTATTTATTTTTTGTTATCAGGTTCTTTCTATTTTTGTAATTCTTAAATAGGTAAGTAGGTACCTAATAGGTATAACTTGTTGTGAAAAATAGCTTCGGTATATTGTTCTATGGTATACATTTGGGGGGGGCTAATCTAAATCTTGGGGGCCCATGTGATGGTGAACAAATAATTGTATCTTAAGTATGTATTACCGTACAAAAAAAACGAATAAATATTGGTGCTAAAAATTGAATTATATAAATATATTATTATATCTATGGCTGCGCAAACCACTATGATCCAGACCACTAACTTAACCATAATATTATAAGATAAGCACTCGGTCGTTTTACAATTAATATCGTTATGCTGGCAACACTCAGTCTCAGACGACTTTCGTGAAGATGATAAGCGCGATAAATTGATAAATGATAAATCGTCGGTGCCCCGTGCCCACTGCCCATGATGTATTGATGTCTGTCTACTCTGTCTTCCTGATATTCGTTATTCTAATAGACCGTTTTATAAGTTTTTAACGTTTTTTCAGCAGCTGACAAAGTGACAAGACAACTGACAACAGTCAACGGCAGTTGATGAGGAAATTACTAATTAGGTAAAGCATATTTTGGACGCAACATCTCGTTAAATATTAATGTCCAACAGTGCCCCCCCCCCCAAATATTAGCGCCTTACGGGGACCCGATGTCGTTCGTGTTAATCTTACCTCCGGGTTGTTTTTCACCTGGACGAATTGCTCGACCATCTTCGCCCTGTTCGTCCGCCTGTACTTCATTATACCACGAAATATCCTGTCCATATCGGTCACCCTAATCTACGTCGGACCACTTTGACCACCACACATCGCCCGAGCTCAACTTACTAGTAACTACTGCCTTTTAAAAGTTCGAACGCTATGAGCGGCCGCTTGGTGCTGTGCAACGTAATGCCGTCGTCGTCGCCGGTCGACCTCTTGACGTTCAAGGGCGTTCGCCGCCTCCGCCTGCCTTGATTATGTCGAGCGCGCGCACCCGCGCGTTCCTTCCGTACTCCGTAGTACCGCATTACCGCGTGTGTTTGTAATTACTAATTTGTAAATACACGCCACTCGGGAGTTCTATTCAATTTCGAACAATTAATCTGTTTCTATTTCCGCGGTCATAATTAACAGTTAGATTTAGATATTAAAACCAGGAGAAAACAAAATATGACGCTACTCGTCGAATCGAACACCTGTTGACGGATCGAAATCGCAAGGTTGCTATGATAGGAAAGCTTTCATTTACTGAACACTACTCGTAAATATCTCTGTGCCGACTGTGCATGTTTTCATTGACTACTACAACAAGTATCTAAGTTCGTTGTATACACATCTCGATGTGTAATTTATCCGTCTGAAAAATAATAATCTAAACCACTTTAAAAATATTATTCCAAATGAATAACTATAATAATTGCCTACTGATTGACAATTGTGGTTTTATTTGAGAAAACTTTGGATCATTACATATAAAATATTTTCGATTATTAATTCTTGATAACAAATTAGAGCCCTTCTAAGTTCTAAGATAGATATTTTACACTGAAAATACTAACACGTGTTTTTTTTTTTATAATGTATAAAATCTGCAAGATAATCATTTGAATTTGTTTATAATTATTCTATGTTTTTGAAGGGCGATGATTAAGTTTAGAAAACATAATTATTAGGTATTTGATGTTAATGTTTTAATTATTATAAAGGGGCTACCAGCAGACGAGTTATGAAACTAAATATATTTTTAAGTTTTAAATTAGTATAATATATCCAATTTATAAATTATTATAAAATATAATGGTTATCAATTAGGCTGTGGGTACAATATTTTTTCTAACCAATTTTTGTAATGCTTTGCTTATTGCCATAAAAACCAAACAAAAATAAACTTAATTAAATTCCGACAAAGCGTAAATATTTTTCCACTGCACTTACCCAAAAACATATCTATGATTCCTTAATTTTCCTTGCAGAGGAAAAATATCTAGTAGCAAGCTACTTAGAATTATAATTTGTTTTTCAAATATGTAATACCTATTTAATATAACGAGTTTATTAAAAAAAAAAATGTTAGGTAACCAAATACTTTTTACAATTTGGAGTAAAATTAATTATTTGAGACTTATTCAATATTCAAATGTAATTTTATTTACAGACATCACAATGGATCAGAACGTAGAAGAAATTCAACAGAATTTATTAAAATTTGGTTGTTGTCGAGTATGTGCAGTTAGACACTTAACAAAACCTTCTGCTATTAATGTTAAAACATTAATTGCTGCATCAGAACAGGATCATGATGAACCAAAACGTTTAAAAAAAAATCCTTGTATAGCATGTTTGGGATTATTTCAAAATCCACAAAAAGATGATATTATCAATAAAATAATTTCTTATCTAAAAACATCTAAATATGATTCGGATACATTTAATTTAGCGTTTAATTTACCCATGTGTACTATTATTCGTGGGCATTCAATAGCATTATATGTATCAAAATTGAGAATAACATTCAATCCAACGTTTCCTACAGCATTTGTTTGTGCCAAAGATGCTTGGAAACTAATGGCTGAGGACGCTATCGTAAAAGCCACCGGTAAACGTTTTGATGTACATTCACCATTACTAGTTACCGTAGGTTTTCATTATAAAGATATAAAAGACGAATGTGATTGTTTAAATGCAATTATCAAATTAAGCAACAAAAATTTACATAATATTTTATCTCAGATGGATAACAAAGATTTTGTTAGTCAATATGGTGAAATGCCGTCAGTACCGGAATCAGTAATAGAATTCAAAAGTGTAGATGCTAGACATGAAAGTGTATATATTGCTGGTCGTTATAATAAGTGGTCTAGGACCCTTTCTCAAACACCTTGGATTGTAGACCAAGAAAGAAGGCTAGAAAGTTCAGTTGAAGAAATAATATCTGATCCAATAAAAAAACGTGCATTAGCCGATGAATTCAAATTTTCGGCATCTGGTAGAGAAGACATTGATGTCAGAATGTTAGGAAGAGGAAGGCCGTTTGCCATCGAATTAGTCAATCCAAAACTAACTAAATTCAGCTATGAAGTATTGAGGGAAATTGAAAATGAAATAAACACTGATCCACAAGTCACTGTAACACACTTACAAAATGTTGTTAGAGACCAATTAAAAGAGTTGAAATCTGGCGAAGAATTTAAAATCAAAGTATATAAAGCTCTTTGTTATGTTGAAGGAGAGTTACCAGATATGGAAAAACTCAATAACTGTGCCCCTCTAGAAATTTTACAGTACACACCAATCCGAGTATTGCATAGAAGAGCTAATATGGTCAGGCCTAGAACTATACACTCAATGAAAGCTGTAGCAACCAAAGTCGGTACAGATAATGGTTGTTCATTTTTCAATGTGATTTTGTCCACTCAGGCTGGTACATATGTAAAAGAATTTGTCCATGGAGACTTTGGACGTACAAATCCTTGTCTCAGGACAGTTTTGGAAAACGATACAGTTGATATATTGGCTTTAGATGTTTTGGATATTGAAATTGATTGGCCTACACCTGTAAAGTATTAATTTAATAGTGACTACTATCAATACACAGAATAGGATAAATTTAACCTATGTAATTGATATTCGGTACTGAAAACATTTTTATATGTTTAAAACATTATTGAAATAAAGATAAATTAAATGATTATGTTGAATATTAATATTATAAAATAAAAATAAACTATGATTAAACTTCCTTATACAATATGTGTACTTATCGAGTTTATTGAATTTTCTAACTAAAAAGTGTATATTTTATTCAGATCATCCAATTGTATATAATTTATGAAATTTACTTGTTCACATACTTATATCATATCCCAATATTAAAATATTTATTTAAAAGGATACAATTTTTGTTGTAAGAAATATTATGGGGTTTGGCATTAAATGTAAGGATAACCAATTAAGATTTTTATTTTTAATACAAAATCAATGTAAAAATGTTAATATCTTAAATCTAAATAATACTTTAAACAAATATAATCTAAATTGCATTAATTTTAAAGTAACAAATCTTAGTATAATGACTAAATATTAGTGTTATCACTTATAAATGTATAATATAACTTGGGTGCTTGATTAATAGGACACTACACCCATAATTTATAGTGTTGTCTCTGTTTTACCCACATAAGTTGTAACATTACAAATTTATATACCCAAACTATTGTTTATTTATAGTTAATATTCTATTATTTATTCATATTATTCTATTATTTTATCCATATAAACAGTGTTTGAGCAAAGATTTTTTTCCTATATTTATTTTAATACAAATTATATGAATTTGAAAAATTAAAGTACTTATGACTAGTTTCAAAATTTAAGAATGAAAACAACTTCGCTTGAGCATAGTTTATATTTTCCTCCACAATTTCACTACCATGTAAATTTACTCTATTAAATGAACTGTAGTAACCCAATACATAGATTTGTTATGTTACGTAAAATAGAAGATAAGCAACCCATTCAGTTCGAGCATCCTAGTAAGACACATTTTTAAATTGTACATTTACATATCATTTTTACATAATTTCTTATGAACTTAGAACTTATTTAATCAATAAAAAGTTATAGAAATTGTATTATTCAATACTATTTGAGACAGTACAACACGTTCCACAGTAAAAAAAAAAACAATTGTTTTATAATTGAACATTCATCAACAAAATATAATGACTGGCTTTCAGTCAATTCTGATAACATTTAACCCGTGAGTGGTAAGTATGGTCTGGTCTCATAGATAGCTGAAGTTTTTTGTTTTGGTTTACCTCTTAAAATGTCTAAAACGTTAACTAATTTCTTTAAACTTATTAAATTTGAGTCAAAAAAATGATAGTCAAATAAATGTTGACACTGTAAATATATTATTTCTAGAAATAATGCGACGGAACAATTGAAAAATATGGTCTTAATATAATTAACAAAATTAAGTGGTCTAGGAGACCGCACCATACCGTTAGCGTAATTTTTGTTCACCGTACCACTTACGGGTTAAGTAAATTAATTCCTTAATTTTAGATTATATCATTGGAATGGTTAAAATAAGTCTTTATGTTATTGTACACACAAATAACATTTTAAGAAGACATTACTAAGAAATAATTAATTATAAAAAAAAAATCATTATTGATTCATACATAGCTAAATTACAAATTAATCACAACCATATATTTTCAGAGTAGTGATTATTAAAAATATTTTACATGATTATTATTACCATTTTTATTCATACTATATTTATCTGTTATGCTTTTATATGAATTAAACCAATATTGTTATCATAAAAAGGGTTCTATCATAATATTAAAAGGTACATAATAATATTTATGCTTGACCTTCGATAAATTTTAGAACGCGAACATGAAAGCAATACTCGTACTTACATATAACCATAGTATTAATGAAACAAAAAATGTTAAAAATTTAATTTATTAAAACTCTTTTTCTTGTTGGTAAGACTTAATATTGAGAGCGGGTTGACTGATTTCTCCTAAATGTTTACGTATTGATGCAAGGTGATTTTTAACTTTCTGCATATTTGGATCAATCATCAATGCTTGTAAATAATGCATTTCTGCGAGATCATATTTTTCCCAACGATGATACAAAACTCCTATAATAATCAAAGAAACAACTATTATTATAAGAAAAAAATATAAGTTAAATTAATACTCACCCAGATTTGAATGATATAATGCAACTAAAATAGCCTTAGAAGATCGATGTTTTAATTTAATAGCAGCCAAAAAATGTTTTTCCGCTTCTACAAATTTATCTATTTTACCTAATATGTTGGCTATATTAAAATGTAAATTTGGTTCATTTGGTAAAATAGAGAGGGCTGTGCGAGCTACATTCTCTGCTCGTTTTAATTCACCAATTGACTCTAGGAGCACAATCATATTATTCCATGAAATTACATGAGTTGGTTGTTGAAATGTAGCATTTTGCCATGCAAATAATGCCTTAGTCTTCTCTCCCATTTCCAAATACTAAACATAAAATTATATTATACAAATGAGTACCATCACATATTGCATATAGACCTCACTAAATTTCCCAAGTTGAAGTAACAGTGAGGATAGCTTTTTCTGTGTTGTAAGGCTGTTAAGTATGCATCTTCAGCTTTATTGTATTCGTGTTGAGCAGATAATACAATACCTAAATTCATCCAAGCAGCAGCAAAATCATTTCTGAATAGAATCAATTGTATAAATTATTCATATTTGAATTGTACACAATTTTGTTAAATATAATTAAATAAATTTGGATCATAAAAATATTTCGTTAAACAGAAAATGTTGTTAAATGGAAGTTTCACTGTAATTTTTTTTTTTATTGAACTTATGCCAGGCGACTAAGGCCATTAGCTGTTGTAGGGGTTATGAACTAAGGTAGGTTGTTTTTTTTTTTTTTTTTTACGGTTGCTATGGTAGGTAGCAGACATGTGTATGTGTGGCAAGGTTTTTAACTACTATGAACCCAAGTGGTCACCCATCCGGAAGCTAGTAACTGTGGCCGTTACTTACTCCCAGTTGCATTCCGTGACTGTTAGCAGCCAACGCGGCACGCCAAGCCACAACACTGTAATTTATTGGTAATGGTAATGACTAATGATTATATTTTAAGTAAATGTTTTTTTTCTCACCTAATAGTAACCGCTTTTTCTAATAAAGATCTAGCCTCTTCCAATTCATTTTTGTCTTTTAAAATATTTGCTAAATTATTCATCGCTTGATCATACCTTGGGTGTAATCTAATGAATGATACATTATATCAATGGTTTGCATTTATATGAATAAATATATTAGTTTTACAATAGTGCATGTTTATAACGGTCTATAGCTTCCTGTGTATGTCCGATATCGGCTAAACTTTTTGCTAAATTATAATGTACTTTAGCATTCATTGGGCAAACTTTCAATGCGCTTCTAAATAATTCTAATTCAGAACTCCATTCCTTACTGCGTTGATATGTTCGAATGGAATGTACACAAATTAATAGTAAAATGCACATTCTAACTATCTAAATTACAATGAATAAAATTTGTTAGCGATTAAAATATGTAATCAAAGTTCAAACAAATGTTTATGCAACAAATATTGCATAAAGATTATAGGTAATATAATATATTAACTTACTTTTTGAACAAAATAATTTAAACATAATCTCCTGATACCCAAGACTATAATTATAATAAAACCAGCTGAAGGCAAATATAACACTCGTTCTGCAATGACAAATCCAACTGTAAACATTAAATTTGAAGCAGGCAGAAACGATAAAAGACCTAATAGAAATCCCATTTGTAATTGTCTGAAAAATATTATGATTATAAATATTAATTAACAGATATACAAATTTAAGAAAAAAAAACTTACTTTTTATCATAATTTTTTGAAAACAGGATTTTATAAAATATTAATACAAGAATTGTCCAAAATCCAAAAACAATGAATAATCTTGGATCTTTAGGAAATGTATTCAAATGTATCAGAGGGATACAGCCCATTGACCAATCAAAACATAGCCAAACAGGACATATCATTATCCAAATATTAATGAAATAGATGTAACTGTAATTTACAAACTGAAAAATTGTTAAATAGGTATAAATTGATAAACTATAGTAAACAAAAGAAAAAATTATAAATTTGTATACTCTTTCAAAAGGTGTTGTTAAAAATGATGCAGGATTATCAATTTGTTGAAAAATAGGAGGTGATCCCATAATAGTCCATCTGCCATAAAGAATAATACAAAATCCGGCAGTCAATATAAATAGCCTTTCTAATGATTCTTTTTTAAGCAATCGAATTATTTTTGAGGTTTTAATATTTTTCATAATACTTTGAAACGTGATTTTGTTGATCACAATAACTTCAAACACACCACAGAACGTCTATAATTAGGTATATTAATAATCTGCATGTTTTATTTTTTTATTGAACTAAACATAATCTAATAATAAAAAAGTTATACCATAATCATTAGTCCTTGTTCTTTGCATAGCATAGCCATAGCACTTAATATACAACAAAATACTGTAGCTATTATGTTGGTTAATGTATTTATTTGTTTAGCTTTTGCAGTTCTATGATAAATAATGAAGACAAAAAGAGACAAACATGCACTAAGTAGATCAGCACGTCCAACTATACCAGACACCTGAAAATAAATAAATCAGTACATATGTAACTTAATTTATTATTATACTTTTAATTTACAACTATAGAAGTATAGAACGTACCACTTCTACATGAACAGGATGCACCGCAAACATCAGAGCTGCTAAAAATGAAGTCTTGGGAGAATCTCCATTAAATAACAAATTATAGACATGTAACAGTTGACAAGAAACAATTGCATGTAAAACTATATTGGTAAAATGTAATGACTTTGGACATAAATGTCCATTATTTAACCAAACATTAAACCTAAAAACAATGAAATCGTAAATTATTTAATTAATAATAATTCAATAATCAAACTATTTAAATAGAAAATATAATATGTGTTAAGTTCTCTTGTAGATACCTAAAGGACAGTATTGTAAGAGGTCTGTATGATTTATGACTAGCCTGGTTCGTTAGTCTCGTACCCCAAAAATCGTGGCTAAAAATCTTAACCACTGGTGTTTCTAGGTTTACGTCATGATTATTTACAACTGCCTCAGAATCATCAAACACAAAAGCACCATAATATGAGTTACCATAGCATAATATAGACACAAATGCTACTATTAAAACATATAACCAGACTGGAAACTCTGTAAATCATACATTGATAATGATTAAATTAATTAAATTTAAATAAATATTAAAATTTAACCGTCTTACTTGGAAATGGTAATTTTGAATCCCAGGAGACAACTGCTAATTGCTTAGACTTCATAGTTAATTCTATAGTAATATTTCAAATGTTAACTGCTGCTCAGCCCAGTATTCTCAAGGTGCATATTAATAAAATTATATTTCCGTGGCATAAGCAATATTTGAAACATACTAAACGTTTCAAAATAATTGTAATTAAAACTATCAAATAAATTTAAGCACATAAGTGGTTGAATAGTAAAGTGACTTACGAATAAAATAGAAATAGAAGAGCAAGAATCATGCATACTTCTCCATTCACCCTTAACTTGATGCTACCGGAAAGTTATGCTTCCTGATCAGTGCCATAGCATTATAGATTTTAGCTGCTCTATCGCGACTGCAGAAGTGCTATCCACCAAACCGGTAAATTGCGATGACAGATAAATATTTATGTTATTCATTTGGTTAATAGTAAAGTGTTCAGTGTTGTAATATGTAATTTAAGTAGAAGTGTAGCCGTGTAGAAACTAGAAACATCCTAGTAAGTACCTAGTAAGACACTAAGACCACTCACCAATGACCGTAATTGAAAATATATTGAAATTGAATATTATAAAACTCTTTATCAACAAAATGATAAATGATAATATGTTATCGCTGAATTTTTTAATATAAAATATCAGACTATAATTTAGGATAATTAAGGAGCCCATAATTTTCCAGAAAATAAATGAACCAAACCACGATCTCTACATATCATCTTCATCGTGAACGACGTGAACCAACAGAAAAATAAAAAGACGGAAAATAAAATTAGAAAAAGCAAAGTTAGAGAAAACAAAATAACTGGAGATTAACGTTCCTGAATTGTTTTCATATTGAAAATAAAATGAACATTAAAATATATATATTACCTATAGAATTTTAATTCCAGAGAGTCGAAAACCTGAAACTATAATCACAGAATGTAATTACTAATTTTAGACAGTCTTACAGAAAGTGATATCGCGAGTGTAGACCATAATTTTCCAGAAAATTAAATTTTGAAATTACCTATATGGATAGGTGAAAATAAAGAAGACATAGGGGCTAAGCTAACCCCAAAAAAATTAATTTCCTTACTTTTGTATTTTGTTTTAAGCACAATCAATAATATTATAATTTATAGTAGACCTTCGTCGCGTCAGATGCATACTAGTTGCCTCCCAAAATATACGAATTTCCTCCCATCCTTATCGTAAATAAAAAGGGTAGGTTATAATTATATTCGAGTTGCCTCCCAAGAAGTTTCACACTACCTAGTTGCCTCTCGTATAGAATTACAGTGGCGTAATTTGGTCAAGTTTGTGGGGAGGATTGAAACATTAACCTCCAACACTCGGGGGCACCACCCACCAAAAAAAAAAAATTAGTTTATATTATAAAAACCCCTCAGTCCAACCATTGTAATCTGTAATATTTTTAAAATGTAAGTAGGGTACATCGGTACATGTATAAATATATTAATGAAAACAGTGGCGTCCGCAGGATTTTTCAATGGGGGGGGCTTGAAAATTAGTTACAAATTTATTTTTATTTTGTCCAGTCTAAAAATTTTAGACGTTTATTTGAGGAATTTTAAAATGTTTGTAACTTTTCAACTTTTCTGGTAGAAAAAATGCTCTTATCATAAGCTTCGATGCCCAGTGTATGTTTTTGGAAGCAAATTGGATCTAGTTGGTATTTTTAGGAGGTCGAAATTGAATCTGCTCAGTGGTTTTAAAAGTACCTAATTGGAGAAAAAAAAATGAAAACTTATTTAAATTGTTTGGTAACAATAGCTTGGTTACAGTGACATATTTATGGGGGGGATATGAGGGATAGACCCCCTCCCTTACCCATGTTTTTCCATGTATAAAGTACAAACTGCTGCAGTACTGTTGTTATTTATAATTTTGTTATCCTGTGGGCATGTGAGTGACATTACACAACATTTATTATTATTATATACCTTACATGGAGTAGGTAACTAACAAAAAGTTGCAATAGCACAAAACAAATTTTGATATCCCCCTCCTAAAGAAAATCCTATATACGCCCCTGTTTGGTTATATAGTCCTCACTTGGATTGTATTTGACTAATTAAATTTTTTTTTATAAATGTCAATAAAAAATTATTTATCCGGTCGAAAAGCTTAAAAATGTAATACGCAAGTTTTTTTTACATATGCATTTAAAGTTCAAAACAATTTAACCACAGTTAATTTGTAGTTCAAAACATATAAAATATAAAATATGTATAGCTAAGGCTAGACAATTTAATACAAGGTCTTTTATACAAGTAGTTCATTCTTTTACCAAAAAATTACAGATAATTTATGAAAATTGGTATGCAAATACAATGTTTTTTCAAAAATGAATTCATTCTGGTAAGACATATATGAAAGTTACGTCTTGCTTACTATAGTTGACAGTTTAAACTTGATTCATATTTTTTTTAAAAATTAATAATAATACGGGCAATGGGGGTGGGCTTTAGTCCGTTAGCCCCCCCCCCCCCTGCGGACGCCACTGTGCCAAAATATATATTTATTATTTACGTATGACAATTGTCATAGGTGATTTTAGTAAGTAGGGGGTCACCTTTGTCATTCTATAGTTATTTTATGGAAATTTGTTCAATAGACTTAGGTAAAATTTTGAACTTCGGCGCCACTGGATGAAAATAAGTAATTATATGCTATTTAATAAAGATTTAAATATAGGTACCTACTTTTTAGAGTAGATTCGTGAAATAATCTGCGTTGACGTAAAATACTCATAATTGCAATCTTCAAAAAGTTATAACCTGGGAGTTAAGTCCAACCAACAAATTCTGATTGAAAATTCTGGAAATTCTACGAAAAATTAATGCACTACTATTCAGCGAAAACGCTCAACTCGAAGATCTTTATCGAGACCTGATAATACTAAGTTGTTTCAAATATACCCCAATAACTTCGGTTCTTCACAGAAGAAAAACTCGAAATGCATATGATTGATTATTCATTTTAATATTAAATCAAATTTAAAAAATACATTAAGTTGTTCAGAAAATTCACTAAATTTTTTTTATGAAGTTTTTAAGTAATTAATTATTATAAGTTATTTAATTTGTAAATTCATCTGGAGTGGTCCAGATGACCAGATGTAAGGGTAAGCGAATCGCTGCCGTTAAGCTGATAAGAACAAAGATTTAATATAGAATGTTTATGGTGACTTACAGACATTGGGACTGGGGAGGATATACAAAAAGAGGGGATACATAATGTTGGAACATTTTACGTGCAAGATACAAATATGAAATAGATCATAGATCAACAAAATATGCAAATACTGAATAGTGAAAATTACGGAGACAGTTGAGAGAGCGTCCGCTGCATGGCGAAGGCTCATCAGTGCCTCGCTCTCACTCCACTGATGTGCTCAGTGTAGATGTCCCTGGACTCCAGAGTAGCCAATCACCTCACTGATGCACAGCTTCCGTGGGAGTTTGACGTAGGACCTGCTGCACAGCTGCCTCGGCAGCAATATTATATTTACATTAATACATTATATTTACATTAATAGGTACATTATAATTTATATTTACATTTAGATTATATTTATATATAATATAAACGCAGAGGCGTTCTGAGGGGTGTCCACTGTCCAGCCCTGTAGGAAATCACGGACTCACGGTCACCTGCCCAAATAGAGTTGGACTGAAGGGGGTTAGCCCCTCCCACAAAAAAAATATTATAAATTATTATAAGGTATAAATAGCATGTGCAATTTAATTTAATTACATAAAATAGGTACTATGGTCTATGATATATTTCCATGTACCTACCTATAGTACCTATAACTATATTTTGTTCTATAATTTATTCATTGTTACAAGCTATTTATGAGTTTTTATATCTCTATCATTTGCAGAAAGTTGTTGCATTGTATGCTTATAAAATTACTTATTCTAACTAAAAAAAAAAAATATCGTTTAATTATTTTCCATAAATTTATATCAAAATATTGGGCCATACCATGGTTCAATAACTAAATTTATTTCATCATGGGCTATACAAGCACTCAAGAGTTATAATTATCGATAATCGGAATAAATCCGCAAAGCAAGATATTACCTATACTTAATTATTGCAGGTACATCATAAAATATTCATAACTCGCTTTAAAATTAAAATATAATAAAAAGCCTACAATATTGCCTATAGATAATCTTGTCTTTAAATTTTAAAAGAGGTCAATTCACTCTAATTTTTAAAGGTAATTTATTCAGTGCTATATTTATTATTTATGCAAAGACGAATGGAACATTTGCACTGGGCATCTGGGCCCACTCAAAAGAGGGACCCACCGACTTCAGACATTCAGTCCATTCAGAGTTCAAACTGGATTTTATTTGGATATTTTGGTGGGTTATAAACATAAACTTACAAAGTATAATAAGTTTTCCCTGAAAATGACGGCCTTAATCAACTTTGTCGACAACAAAATCTAATTACCGTTATTATATCTTAAATCGTAATAATATTATTATTTTCGTCTTTTGTAATATTACTATAGGTACTACCGTTATTGTCTTGCACTCTTGCGTAGTTAGGTGATATCCCATATACGCGTCAGTCGTATTTATTGTATCTATTTGTCATTTGTTTATCATTTTTAATAATTTAAAATGTCAAAATATACTTAAGTGGTTCAATGAAGAGAAAATTAAAGGATATATTTTTAAAGGAGATAAACGAGATGAAGAAACAAAAAATCTACACGGTAGTAAAGATAAATGTACGTTTAGAACAATAGAGCTAGTTAAATAGTTTATCTATACTAGCGAACAATCGAAATGTTTGTGAAAGATGATTAGCTGAAATCAAATTTGACTTAAAACATTAAACTTAAAACTTAAAAGCATTTGGTTTGATACATAAGTGTATTAAATAATTAATTTGTATATGTAAATGAATAAATATTAAACATTAGTGAGACGAATTATTGAAAGTGTAAAGTGTTTTTGTATATTAAACAATCAAATTCCCCATAATCAGGCGCTGAATGGCAATG